ACCCTCCGCGCCAGCGCATTGCAGCCTCTCAGGTAGGGTGACCCGTGGCCCTGACCCTCCTCACTCACGCTCATGGGACTCAGGAGGCCAAGGCCCCTGAGAAGGTGTGATGGGGGCTCGGAGGCACCGAGCCTCTCGAGCAGACCCCGGAGGGGCTGCAGGCAGGAAGGGTGGCCCGTTGGAAGGGCGTGCCCACCTCACAGAAGACAGCCCCTCCGGTTACTGGTGACTCGCTTCGTCATGCCTTCATTCCTCCAGCAGGTATTTACTCAGCGTTGGCATATTCCAGGCACTGTCCTGGGCTTGGGCCAGAGCGAACAAGTGGTCATGGCCCCATCCCTGTGGGGTCTCTACCTTGTGGTGAGGCAGGCCGCCCAGGCAGTGGGCGTCAGGCTTCCTGGAGGATGGGTTAAGGCACGGGAGGTGTTTCCTATGAGAGATGATGAGCGGAGGCCCGGAGAGAAGGACCCAGCAGGACGGGTTGTGGCAGGGAGGCAGGGAAGGAAGGGGGACCATGGGCCTATGGCGTCAGGGTCTCTGTGGCTTGTACCACTCCCCTCGCCCCCTTGGCACTAGCAGTGTGTGTTCATGCATGCGCCTGGTGAGCACCACATCCACCGTGCCTTCAGAGCATCCTGAGACCAACTTAGCACTTCCCGCTCCATCTAAACCCCTCCCCATTGTTCCCAGAGTCTCCTCCTGCCCATTCAGTGTCTGCTCCCACCTGGCAGAGGTCCTGACCTTGTCCAGACAGGCCAGCACCCTCTGCAGGGCCCTCCTGTTGTAGCTCCCCCAGAGGACAGCCCAGGTCCTAGTGGCCCACAGGAGTCACGGGCTTGGGGCTGTCACCTCTGACTGCTTGTTCCTGTCCCTCTCGGTCACCCCGCTCTGGCCCCAGGGCTCCCCCCATGTCCTAGGGTCTGTGCACTTCTGTCCCTGGGCCTCACGTACTCATCTCTCTTGTCTTTGTTCAAGTGCCACCTTCCAGGGCCTCCTCTCAGCACTGCAGCCTGCGCCGCTTCGGCCCTGGTCATTTGGCACACTGACTCCCTTACTTCTCTGTGTTGTTTACTGTCCCCCACTCCCGGCACGTGGAGGTCTGTGCGCTGCGGCACCCCTGGCCTCTGGAGCCGTGCCCAGTCAGCACTCAGAAGCGAGTCAGCCAAGCAGGGGAAGGAAGGAGCTGTGCAGGGCAGCACCTGTCTCCCCGGCTCAGGAAGTGAGCTGAGGCTGGGACAGGGAAGGGGTGGGTTTCCATATGCTGTTCCTTCTTGTCACCCCCAGGCCCTCCTGCACCAGTACTTCTTCACAGCCCCCCTGCCTGCCCACCCTTCGGAGCTGCCAATTCCCCAGCGCCCGGGGGGACTGGCCCCCAAGGCCCACCCAGGGCCTTCCAACGTCCATGACTTCCATGTGGACCAGCCCCTCGAGGAGCTGCTGTTGAACCCAGAGCTGATTCGGCCCTTCCTCCCGGAGAGCTGAGCTGCTGGACCAGGCCCCGCCGGCCTGTGTCCCAGGGCCTCCTGTTCCTCTGCTCCAGCCTGACTCAGCCCACGGCCACTACGACCGCACTGGGCTCACTCGTGCCTGGTCCTGTCCCAGCCCGGCAGTGAGGATGTCCAGCCCCAGCAGAGGAGGAGGCCCGAGGCTGAGGGCTGCTGACTTACAGGAAGGGGCAGTGCGCCCACCTCCGTGCTGGCCGTGGTGCTGCTGCTCCAGGCACTGCCTTTCTGGCCAGGACACGTCCTGGAAGAGCCTTCTGTGAGCACAGAGGAGGATGTCCTCAATTCAGAACCCCGAGTGGGAAGGGGGTGGGTTTGCTTTTGTTCTCAAGGATGTTAAACACTACTTCAGTTTTTGAGATTTATTATAAAAAAGCCCAAGTAGTTCTGCCTGGTGTCTGCCTTTCTTCCATTCCTGTCAAGGGAAGTGGCCGAGGTGGCATTTTCTCCTGGTCCTTGCTTCTCTGTGGTCTCTGGGAAAGTGACCCATTCATGGCTACTCTAATCTTGGGGGCTCCCTAGGGGCTTTATATGATGGAGCTTCCCTTTGGAGGTGATGTGGCGGAAGTCCAGGCCCAAGTATGGCTCAGGTTGTGAGCCAAACACCTTAATCTGGTTTACAGACATCTCTGCCTTTGGAGAAGGGTGAGCCAGAATCAGTTGTGCCATCTTCTTCCTTCGAGAAGGAGACAGGCATTCCTGAAACTCACTTGTTAATTCAATAAATCACAATACAATTCTATCCAGCTCTTGTTTTTCTTATTTAATAATTTGATAAGACAGTTGTAAAATATATATGGAAATATAAGTGTTGAAAGGAGGAAGCAGAAATGAGAAGAATGATGATGAAAGGGCTTACCTATTAGATACCAAGACTTGGCATAGGGCTGTAATAATTGAGACAGTGATATTGGTTCAAGGATAGATAAAAACAGGCAGATTAAAGAACTATATTCTTAGTACTCTTATTCTTAAAATATTCATTTTGTGCCCCATGTGAATAAACTTCTGTAAGCACTGAGGACAGAGGTGACTAACATCGCCAGTCACTGCTTTTAGAGGGAATATAAAACACAAACCCCAGTTGTTGCTTTCTGGAGAGGAAAGTGGCCGTCTCATCTGTCTTTAAAGATGTTTTCAGGATTGGACCTCTGCCTGTTTCTCCAGCCACATCTGTGTCAGAATGTCTAGCTCAATTTTCATGACCTTCACTCTGTCCTTAAGCCTTACGTTAAACCTGACCCTTATTCATCACCCTGACTGACATATACACTCACCCTCACCCAATTCTTTGTCAGACCCTTACCCACCTAAACCTGGCCTTGATCTTGGCATTGACCATGACCCTCACCATAACTGACCCCACTTGACATAGAACTTAACCTTTTTCATGAACTCCCCCATCACTCTCACAATAACATTGACCCTCTCTGATTGGCATTCATACTTTGATGCTCATCATGACCCTGATCCTGATGCTTAACATGGCTGTCATACTTATCCTGACCTTGACTTTCCCTTGACAATGACTATTTGTTACACTGGTCATGACTCAACACTATCACGAATGAGACTCTTGGTACCCTTAATCTGATTATGAGTCTCAACTTCACTCTATCCCTGCCCCTAGATTGAATTCTCTAACAAGGACCATCATAGTCCTCCACCCTAACCATAGAGCCTGACCTTGAACCTGAAACTAGTCTGCATGTCAAACCTTACCAGGACCCTGGTCCTGACATTGACATTAACCCAAACCTCAATTTCACCCTGACCTTGATCCTCATCCTAACACTGACCTTTGAGCAGAACCTGGACTCACACTTGGCTGTGAACCTGACCTGAAATCAAACTTGACCATCATTACGGTGACCATCATCCTCAGCGTGGTCAATGCCCACATCTTGACCCATCCTTGACCTTAAACCTGACAATAACTGGTAGGTTGAAGAATGCTCAGTCCTCAAAGATGCCCATGTTCTAACCCATGAAAATGTTGCCTTACATAGCAATAGGGCTTTGCAGGTGTGATCAAGTGTACAGACCTTGACAAGGGAAGAGTGTCTTAGATTATCCAGGTGGGTGTATATACAAGAGAGAGAAGTGAAGGTGGGAGGTCTTCACTCCAGCAGCAAAAGAAAACAAACCCCACATTGACTTAATTGACCTTGACAATGAACATCATGCTCACCCTGAACTGACTATCCTAACCTTGATCTGGACCCATAACCTGACACTGACCCCAACTAATCCTGAATATCAGCCTCACCCTGACCTTGTTCCGAATCCTACGCAGAATTGGACATTCACTGTCAACCCGAGTGCAACTCTCAATCTTACCTCACCCTAACAATAGCCCCTGACCTTCATCCTCTCACTGATCCTCTAATGGACACTCCACCTGACCCTGGTCCTGACCTTGATCATGATTCTCACATTGATCTTGAACATAACCCTGGCCCTAAAATTTCCCTTACACTGATTTTGACCATGAACCTGATTCTGACACTGACCTCTTTCTCATCCAGATCTGTAGCCTGATACAGAATTTTACCCTGAACTAGACACTCACCCTCACTCTGATTCTGGCCTTTATTACTCTGTCCCTCATCTTACATTCATCCTGTGACTCTGACCTGCCCTGACTTGAACTTGATCACGACCCTCACCCTTACACTAACTGATCTGCACATGGCCAGGGCCAGGACCAAGTCCAGGGTGAGGTTCAGGGTCAGGGTCAGGGCCCAAGGCAAGGGTGAGACCAGGCTAGGGACCGTGGTAAGGAAGGCATGAGGTTCAGTTAGGGCGAGGGTCTGGGCACGTGCCAGCGCCAACGTAAGAGGGAGGCCGAGGGTCATTGTGAACGTGAGGGTCAGGTTCGGGATGACGTTCATGGTGAGGGTGTCAGGATCAGGGTTAGGTGAAGGAACGAGGGCTAAGGGTGGGTGACAGGTGCTAATAAGGACTAGGTGACGAGCAGGGCAAGGTTGAGGAAGAGGGTCAGGATAAGGGCACATGGCAGGACCAGGGGCAGGGTGACGGCCAGTATGAACCTGGTGAGAGGTCCAAGTCAAAGGTTAGGTTTAGAGGGCAGGGGTGAGGTGGAGGTGGAGCCTGGACACACATATTGGTAAGGGGTGAGACCAAGGGGCAGGGCCAGCACCACAGCGCGGGGTCCAGAGGTGCCGGTTCGGGAACACTGTAAGGTCCAGTGATGCGGGTGAATGTCAGCGGGAGGGGATGGGCGAGGGTCTGGGGAGTGTCAGGGTACGGGTCAGGGCAAAGGCGAGATCCACAGTGACGTCAGGGGCAAACCCAAGGCCAGGCAGAGGCGGAGTAGGTGGGGCCACCGCACTGCGGGAGGAGGGGCCGAGGAGCGGCGGACGGGCCCGGGATTGGCTTAATGAGGCGCATGCGCGCTAGCAGGGCGGGTTCTGCCCGGGGCAGGGACACCCCGGCGGCGCAGGGACGCAGAGGCGGGCCGGGCGCGGATTGGCCCGCGGGGCGGAAGCGCGGAGAAGGCGGGGCGGGCCGGGGACTGCGGAAGCGATGGGGCCGTCGCTGGGCGTACACGAGCTGCTGCACGTCTTCTCCTTCCTGGAGGCCCGAGACCTGCTCCGTGCCGCCCAGGTGGACAAGGTAGCGCGCCCGGGCTGGGGACATGGCCACTGAGTGCCCGAGGCCGGCCCTTCTCTGGCCCGTTTCCCCGTCCGGGTTGGGGCTTTCGGCGGCTTGAAGCTGTGACCGGCAGAGGGCGCTCTCGGCCCGCAAGGTGGCTGCTGCCGCGGCCGCTGGAAGGGTCGCCCCGAAAGGCCCCGTCCTTGCCTAGGAACGCCCGCGCGCTTCCATCTGGATTCACTCCAGAGATTAATGTAGGGAGCGTTTTCTTTCTGGAATTTGCCTCGCTGGCTCTGCCTGGAAAGCCACGCCCCTTGCCCCTCCTCTAGGGGGCGACCTCGTCCTGTTTCTCCGCAGCCCCGGAGCCCGCACTCCGCCCTGGCCGTGCCGAGTTCCCGTTGAGTGCGCTAGTCTCGCCTGGGCCTCATCCCTGGTGACTCCTGCCCTCATCCCCTCTTCCTGGGACTCGGCACAACTCCAAGCGCTGTTTTTAGGGTGCATTTGATGACTGCTTTCCCCGCTACGCATTCCTAAGAACAGGGGTTTTGTCTTTTGCATCACAGACTCTTGGTGGTGGTGGTGAGAATGGCACCGGGCGTTAGACTGGACCTGGACTTGGCAACCTCGGTGCTTGAGTTCTGGCTAGGGAAGAGTTCACAGCCAAGACTCAAACTATAAGAACATTTATTTAGACAATGACAGAGCTAGAGTAAGTAATCAGTAGGTAGAGGCAAAGGACGGGCCCTTGAAGCTTAGAAGTGAGGAAGGTAAGGGTGACCCCTGGGGGGCAGGGGAAAGGGAAAGAAAGGCTCCGATGTGCTCCCTGGAGGGAGCGTGCACTGGGTCCTCCTCGTAAGGTTTTAAGCGTGGAGGTGTTAGGGCAGATTCCGGGGGAATCACTCAGTGGGATACTCAGCAGCTTTTCATGTGTGTCCTTTCAGGGTCAGGGTCTCCACTGATGGGTTGGTGGGCACCAGGGCAGGTGGTCAGTATGCAATGCAGCTGGTCCTGAGGTCAGCCCTGGTGTTGATTACCTGGTTTTGTTGCTTTTCTGGGCGTGGAGCTGAAATACAACTGAGGCCTAGATGTTATGTCTAGGGAGGAAAGGTCAGGGGCAGGGGTCCAAACGGAATGACCAGAGATATGAAAGATCAGGGGGTCCAAACCACAGGACCAGTGACCTGCTAGGGGAGGAAAAGTCACCCTGGGGATGAGGGTGCGCCCTCCAGTTGTCAGTTGCTAGGCACCTGGGGCTTTCTCTTCTGATGACCTTCTGTACCTGGTCCTTAGTCCTTGCTCTGCTCATATCTGTCTAACTGCCTATCACACTCCCAATAAGTATTTGTTGAGTAAATTTTAAAATAATCTATTATTTTTACAAAAAGATTAACAAACAGATCATGACCTGAGTTCTGTACTTATAATTTTAAATGTGTTAAGTAAAATAGTGGGTTTTCATCCCCATGTTTACTACTAAGGTGAGTATCTCCGTGAATGCGTTGTTCAAGGACATCCAGTGGTCCCACACGATGGAATTGGATGCCTGGCTGCTTCCACAGCAGCAGGTTCTGGATGGCAAAGTGGCAGAGTGAGAAAGGGATATGCTTAGACCTTTTTGTAGCATGAACGTTCTAGGTTCTAGATTCCCCATTAGGTAAAAGTGAGGTCAGTCATCGCTGCCTCAGGGTGTTTAGTTAAGGCCAGGGTCAGAGGGATCCGTAAAGGTGGGTAGGACTTACTTTGCAGGTTATAGTACATATTATAATTCTATATGTGAGAAATAAGATCTCAGTAGTGTTTTGAACTGGAAACTATAGACAAGGAAAATGGATAAATTTTCTTGGCTGGTTTGATTTTGTAAAATATAAACGTTACGTTCCTGCCAAAAAGACTACTTTAATCCTCACCCGGGGATATGTTTTTATTGATTTTAGACAGAGAGGAAGGGGAAGAGAGAAACATCAATGTAAGAGAAACATTGGTTACCTCCCGTATGTGCCCCGATCTGGGATTGAACCTGCTACCGGATAGGGCCCAAAAGACTTCTTAAGGGCTGAGAAACTTTGATTTAGGTGAGCGAGGGGCGTAGAAATGGGAGCCTGGGCTCAGGTAGCATGGCCATCGTGTCTTCCAGGGATAAGACCCTCAGTGGGGCTGGGCCACAGAAATCTCCGCAGTGGTTCCCACCGAAGCTGTGTAGGCTCCAGAATCCAGGATGCAGGCGTGGGCCTTCCACGTGCCACCTGAGCCTCCTCTAGATGCTTCTGCTGAGGGCAGTTTGTAGACCAGGGCCCATAAGAGGCCTCCCTTTGGCAGCTGTTCCATTCCACCATCTTGGCATCTGGGACATCCCTGGGGCCAGGGCCTCAATTTACTCCATCGCAGCAACCTTACAACCTGTGCCCTCGTTTCCAACCCTTCCTTCTCACAGCAGCCAGAGTGATTGTCCTAAAACACGGTTGGACGCACCACTCCTCCGTTCACAATTCTCAAGTAGCTTCACACTGTTTTTGCCATTATGACTCCAGGAATTGGTGTAAGCCAGTCTCCAGCTCCTTGCCCCAGAACTTATGTTCTAATTAAGGCAAATTACTCACTGTCTGTCATGCGTCTGAATCTTTGCACAGGTGGTTCTGTCTCTCCCTGGAATGCTTCAGCCATTCTCTTAAAGTGCAATGACCCATCCTTTGGGACTTGGTCAGTAATCATTTCTGAACCCCGTAGCTGCATTGAGTTGGTCATTCTCTCCTTCCTCACTTATGTGGTGGTTTTTATTTCCATATGTCTCAGGAGGAGTTTTTATGAGTGCAGGCACTGGGTCTGATTAGCTCTCCCCTCCATAGGGCCTGGCAGGCTAAATGCTAACTGCATGGCAGCGGTTCTCAACCTGTGGGTCGCGACTCCTTTGGCGGTCGAACGACCTTTCACAGGGGTCGCCTAAGACCATCCTGCATATCAGATATTTACATTACTACTCATAACAGTAGCAACATTACAGTTATGAAGTAGCAATGAAAATAATTTTATGGTTGGGTCACAACATGAGGAACTGTATTTAAAGGGCCAGAAGGTTGAGAACCATTGCTGCATGGTGACTGAACAGCTATTCTTTTCTCTCTTCTCTTGTTATAGGTCTGGAATGAGGTTTCAGGGACCAAGGAATTGTGGAGGTGAGTGAATGAAAGAAGAGCCACATATCTGAAAAGGGGAGGTGGGTATACAATGTTCACCTGTTAAAATGGGTAAGAACCCAACCCTAGTCTTTGTTGTCATCTCTGCTGATAAGCTGGGGCAGGAATTTCCATTTGAGGGACATAACTAGGTATATTTCGGTCATTAGCTCAAAAAGACTTACACTGGGTAAGTTTTTTGAGTACTCACTATGTTTCTGCCTCTGTTGGGTATTCAATAAGTGATAGCCCCTCCCAGCAGGAAACTGCTCCCTGATTGGGGCACAAGACTCTTTTCTTTATAATGTTCTGAAGTATAAGAGATTTTATTAATTGAGTTGGAGGTTGATAGAAGGCAGGGGTACCAAACTCAGGGGAGGAAATATACAGCAAATGAACACAACTGGTTGAACACAACTAAATCACTTTTATTTTCATTAATCTCTGATATAACAACATAGCTATCTAGGCATGTATGATATTAGCACTTAAATAAAATGCAAACAAAGTTGAAAATATTTTAATCATTAAATTATTAAATTTTTCTTTCCTATTCATTTCTCCTTTAGAACCTGACATCTTTTCTTTTGCCCCAAGATAAAAATGTTAGATCTTCTACCTCTGGCTGAATATAGGACAGACTGTATCCTTGCCTGTCAGCTAGGAGTTGTGGGAACATAACTGTTCACACATGAAGGCGCTTCCAAACATGGAGGGAATCTTTACTTGATTGTTTTTATTTTTAGGATAACTTTTCATTGAGGTATTTTATAATTCTGCAATGCCAGTCTTACCGTATTTCATTTTCAGTATCATATAGCATTGTTATTTTTGTTGCTTTCCATTTAGTTTTTATTGCTAATATTAGAAAAATGATGTCAATCTCTTTAGTCACTTTTGAAGTAAGAGAACTTTTAGTGGATTCCAGTCTTTTTTTTTTTTTTTTCCACCCCCTCGGATTCCAGTCTTTATCTCAACAATTGTAGATATAACATTTAGTTCTGGAAATTGATTGATCTGTAGGTAAGTAGACAATAGTATGCCTTAGATGTGATTCTCAAAGACATTGCGTCACTAGGAATAAGTGAATTGACTTGAGGATTAGTGCAGCTATTTGTAAGCCCTGGCAGAACAATGTTCACCTGTTAAAATGGGTAGGATCCCAACCCTAAACCCTAGTCTTTTTTTTCCATCTTTGCTGATCAGCTGGAGTGGGAATTTCCACTTGAGTGAAATAACTAAATATATTTTGGCCAATAGTTAAAAAAAAAAAAACCTAAAAAAACTCATCAGCAGTTCATTCCCTGACCTCCACGTATATGTCACATGTTACCATGTTGTGCTTCCAGGTTTCTCAAGTAGGTGGTTCAGCTGTCTGCTAGCCAAGTCACAGGCAGGATTTTGGTTCATTACTATTTCATAGTGTTTGGTGCTAACCTTTTTTTTTTTTTTTTTTTTTAAAGCATAAAGTTGTTTCTTGGGATGTTATTGTTTTATGTTAGTAAAAAAAGCCCTGGGTTTATGTTTCTGGGGCTGGGACAACAGCATGGCAGGAGCATCATGATATGCACGTGTCATTTCTGGTGTTGTGCCTATAAAATGTCCTATGGACACAGTGAATAAATGTGGTTAACTGGTCATGTGTTTTGAATCTGTACTTTCTAATTTACATTGAAAGTGCTGCAAATGACTTAAATACTTCAGGACCTTTAAAATTCTGCCATTTCTTCACACTAAGTGTTAGCTTTTCGGTTATAAGTAAAATTGCAAATATTTTATTTTGTTTAAGGTACATAATTTCTGTTGTGTACAGTAGGTTGTTTTGTTATTAATTGCCACCTGTGAAAGGTTTTGGAGCCATGGTATTTTTTTTGTTTCACTTGCTACATCATTTTATTTCAGAGGCATATCACATACTTTACTTATAGTCACACTTTAACCTTATTTACAGCCTTTTTTATTGTCAAATCATTTTATTTTCTCATTGCTCTTGAATATTGGCCATGGGTCCTTCTATGGTTTGATGTGTAATGGCCTTAACTATGTAGAAATAGACTTCACTTCCACAAAGAAATGTGTCATCTTTCTTTTTTCTTAAACACATTATCTTCTTGGTCTAGCTTTTCTTTTCACACTGTTTAGATTGAGATATGAATACAAAAAAATCAACGTTTAATATAACTCTGGAAATTAACCAGAGACTTATAATAGTCTGGGAAGTGTTTATTAAAGAAAAAAATGGCATATTCTCAGTAAGAACAGCAAGCTTTCACTTACCCTATTCCCACAGCTCCCTCCAACTCTGTGTGAATCTTGAATATCAGTAGCTCCCAGTCACAGTGAAACCAGGAGCCTGGCACTCACTGAAGGGGAGAATGGAGCAGAGCCTCACTCTTTGACCTCAATCTGGTGTTTCGTGGAAGACCTCGTAGGCTCTCTTTACTTTGCCTGACTTGAAGTTCACCCACTTGAAAAGCCTTTACCTTGGTGTATTTGTCAAAAACAGTTGTAGACAGTTGGTTACCTTTGTGGCTGTCAGAGCTGATGTATGACAGTTAGGCTAACCAAAAAACTTAAAACAAAAAGCTGGGAATGTGATATCCTTAGGGGTTTTGGAAAGCTTGGGCCTATTCCTAGAAATCTAGGTCTTGTGCACAAGCAGGGCTTTGCGCTAACTCAGGAGAGACCTGACTAAGGCTCTAGGCTCGCACCTCTGGCTGACCTTGAGATTCTTTGAAGGAATGAAGGATAAGGCAGAGCAGTCAGTTGCCCGGCTGTGTGTTGAACATATGCCCCGACATACACACAGAGCCTTTGGCAATGCCTGGGAGACTTAGTGGTTCTAGACAAGGGGTGGGGAACCTTTTTTTCTGCTAAGGGCCATTTGGATATTTATAACATCATCCTTAGGCCTACAGAATTATCAACTTAAAAATTAGCATGCTGTATTTAGTCAAACATTTAACTCACCCCGAATGCCTTGGCAGGGCCATACCAAATGACATCATAGGCCTTATACAACCCTTGGGCCAGACATTCCCCACCCCTGTTCTAGATGATTAGAAAATCTCTGTCCAATCATTAGTGAGCAGTAATTTAACTGAGCAGGGACTTAAGTGACCAGATGTAACAAAGACTATAGAGCAGCCGTGGGCAAACTACGGCCCGCGGGCCAGATCCGGCCCGTTTGAAATGAATAAAACTAAAAAAAAAAAAAAGACCGTACCCTTTTATGTAATGATGTTTACTTTGAATTTATATTAGTTCACACAAACACTCCATCCATGCTTTTGTTCCGGCCCTCCAGTCCAGTTTAAGAACCCATTGTGGCCCTCAAGTCAAAAAGTTTGCCCACCCCTGCTATAGACTTTGCAGAATTAGTTAAGAAACATCACTAAACAAATAATAATAACAAACAGCATAAATAACACACCTGGGGAAGGGGGCATCGGATTTATAGAGTTCCACAATACGTATGTCATTTAAAATCTTCAGTTTTCAACCAAAGTTATAAGTCATGCAAAGAAATAAAGTATGGCTAACATGCATTAACAAAGGACACAAGAGAAACTGTCCCCAAGGAAGCCTAGACATTGGACCCAGTAGACAGAGACTATAAATCAGCTAATTTAAGCACAGTTGACTCGGCTTTTTTTTTTTTTTTTCCATATTCAATCCTTATTGTTGAAAGTATTACATATAACCCTTTTTCCCCCCATTGACCCCTTCTAGCCTGCCCCTCCTCCTCCCCTCTCTTCCCATCCCAGGCCTTCACCACCCTATTGTTTGTGTCCATGGGTTATGCATATCTATCTATATATTTATATCTATATTTATATCTATATCTATATCTATATAAACTATATATATATAATAGAGAGATATGCTAATTAACCAGGATGCCATAACGGGTTGACCGGACAGGAGGTTGTGCACATGCATCATCAGGGGTGGGTCGGCAGGGGCCTCTGGGCACCTGTGCTAGCGGAGGGCCTGATCAGCAGCAGCTGCTTTAAGGGCCAGAGAGGGAGGCAGGACCAGACCGGAGGGTGGGGGGCACCACACAATTTCTAATCGCGCGCTGGGCTCCTAGTATGCATATAAAGTCTTTGGTGGTTCTCTGCCCACCCACCCTCCCCCACCTTCCCTCTGGGATTCCACAGTCTGTTCCATGCTTCTGTATCTCTGGATCTGGGTTTTTTTTTTTTTTTTTTTTTTATTGCTTAAAATATTACAAAGGGTATTACATATGTGTCCATTTTATCCCCCCGCCCTAGACAGTCCCCTAGCCTCCCCTATCCCCCAGTGTCTTATGTCCATTGGTTATGCTTATATGCATGTATACAAGTCCTTTAGTTGATCTTTTACCCCCCTACCTCCTGCCCCCCAACCCTCCCCGGCCTTCCCGCTGCAGTTTGACAATCTGTTTGAGGCAGCTCTGCCTCTGTATCTATTATTGTTCAAAAGTTTATAATGGTCTCTATTATCCATGAATGAGTGAGATCATGTGGTGTTTTTCCTTCATTGACTGGCTTATTTCACTTAGCATAATGCTCTCCAGTTCCATCCATGCTGTTGCAAATGGTAAGAGTTCCTTCCTTTTTAGAGCAGCATAGTATTCCATCGTGTAGATGTACCACAGTTTTCTAATCCATTCATCTGCTGATGGGCACTTAGGCTGTTTCCAAATCTTAGCTATGGTGAATTGTGCTGCTATGAACATAGGGGTGCATATATCCTTTCTGATTGGTGTTTCTGGTTTCCTGGGATATATTCCTAGAAGTGGGATCACAGGGCCAAATGGGAGTTCCATTTTCAGTTTTTTGAGGAAGAGATGTTTGAGATGTTGCTGCCCATAGTTTCTTCTAAGGTTGTTTTTTTTTTTTTTTTTTTTATGGTTTCATGTCGTACATTTAAGTCCTTTATCCATTTTGAGTTTATTCTTGTGTATGGTCTAAGTTAGTGGCCTAGTTTCATTTTCTTACATGTATCTGTCCAATTTTCTCAACATCATTTATTGAAGAGACTGTTTTGACTCCATTGTATGTTCTCGCCTCCTTCGTCAAATATTAATTGAGTGTAATAGCTTGGGTTGATTTCTGGGATCTTTGGTCTGTTCCATTGATCTATATGCCTGTTCTTGTGCCAGTACCAGGCTATTTTGATTACAGTGGCTTTGTAGTATAACTTGATATCTGGTATTTTGATCCCTCCAACTTTGTTCTTCTTTCTTAAGATTGCTTCAGCTATTTGGGGTCTTTTTTGGTTCCATATAAATTTTGGAGTGTTTGTTCTTCTGGTATTCCATGGTATGAATGTAACAAGATTCCAGCCTCTTATTTGATCGATCCCTTTAATATTATGCAGTGACCTCTGTTGTTTCTTGTGGTGGCCTTCATTTTGAAGTCTATTTTGTGAGATACAAGTTTTGCTACCCCAGCTTTTTTTTTCTACTTGCATGGAAATTTTTTTTTCCATCCCTTCACTCTGATCCTATGTGAGACTGTTGTTCTGAGGTGCATCTCTTGTAGACAGCATATAGTTGGGTCGTATTTATGTATCCATTCAGCTGCCCCTATCTCTTTTGATGAAAGCATTTACTCCATTTACTTTTTTTAATTGTTGTTGATCTTCACCTGAGGATATCTTTACATTAGTTTTTAGGGAGAGTGGAAGAGAGAGGGAAAGACAGAAACATTGATGTGAGAGAGACACAGACCTGTAACCAAGGTACATGCCCTTGACTGGACTCAAACCCAGGACTCTTCGGTCCACTGAGCCAAGCTAGCTAGGGATACTCCATTTACTTTTAAGGTTACAATAATATATGTCTTTTCTCTTTCTCTTTCTCCTCCTCCCTCCCTTCCACTCTCTCTAAAAATCAATGGGAAAAGTATCCTCAGGTAAGAATTAACAAAAAGAAAAAAAATAATTTTGTTTAAAGTAAAAAAATAAAAGATAAATATTTTAATAGTAATCGCCAAAGCAACCATTATGAATTCAAAAAACTATGGTGTGAGAAACAACAGGGAATTAAAATAGGACACTAAAAAATACTGAATATAAAAGAAGACAATGATAGAGTATGAGAAGGAAAAATGCATAGAAATAAGTAAATGACATGTAAATGCTATCTTTTTAGTTACAGTGAATGTATATGGATTGAGCACTCCAATAAAAAGGCAGCGAAACTATAGGAATCTAAACTATAATAGACACAGTTTAGATTCAGAGGCTCAGGTTGAAAATAAAAGAATGGAAACAGATGTACTATGCAAACAGTAACCAAAAGAGAGCTGGAATGGCCAGGCTAATATCAGACAAAATAGACTTTAAGATAAAAAGTACAGGTTAATCCATCAAGATCTAAAATTTATAAACAGCCCAACTGGCGTGGCTCAGCAGTTGAGCATCGACCCATGAACCAGGAGGTCACGGTTCAATTCCTAGTCAGGGCACATGCCCAGATTGTGGGCTCCATCTCCAGTGTGGGGTGTGCAGGAGGCAGCCAATCAATGATTCTCTCTCATCATTGATGTTTCTATCTTTCTCTCCCTCTCCCTTCCTCTCAGAAATCAATAAAAAATAAAATTTATGAACATATATACACCTACTAACAGCAGCAAAATACACGAAGGGCTGACAGAATTGAAGGGAAAGATACACAATTCAGTAGTAAGAGTTAGATACTTCAAAATATGCAGAGCCTTGGAATGGTTATGGCTGCATAACCATAGGCAAGTGTTTACTTCTCTCTGCCTCTCTGTCCTCGTGCAGAATGGCAATCAGACCTACTTCTGCAGATTGACTGGATACACCCAAAGCACTCATTGCGTTATCTCTTCATGTCCCCCTTTAACAGTAGAGGAAATGCGGTCTACACAGGCATAGTGAGGTGTTCAGTCTGATAGATGGCGAAGCTGGCCTGTTGGTACCACAGTACCTGCTGATGACTGTTCTGCCCTGCCTTGGACATGGTCTGTTTTCAGGCAGTTGTGTCTGAGACGCTGGTCCTCCTGTAAAGACTCCCAGGTGACGCGGGGCACACAGACATGGAAACAGTACTACCTCTGCCGATCCGAGCTGGACTTCCGAGTGGAATCTGGGCGGCCAGAGAAGGACTTCGTTTGCAAAGCCCTTGCCGGGCACAAAGGTATGGTGTTGGGAGTGTGGTAGCTGCCCGCTTTCCCACCACTCACTCTCCCTGGTCCGGTCCCATGGCATTTTGTGTTTTAGCCAGTGAGTTGGAAAATGCCACTTGACGGGTATGTTCCATGCTGGGTTCGACATCGATGTTGTCATTGACAGTCACTGTAACCCTGTGAGGAGGGCTCATTGCATCTATTTCATCGTTTTGGGGCTGGTAGGCTGTGGGCAGTCCTGGGCATGAAACCCAAGTTGTAAGTCTAAAGCCCTAGCCCTTTCTGTCCACCGCTGTCTCCCAATCTGCGCCTGTTGTGCTGCAGGGACAGAAAGGGGAGTGATTGTCTCGCCTGCCCTTCCCAGGTTGTGCTCACACTCCAGGCAGGAGTGTCCATTTGAGGCAAGTCTGTTCTCTTTCAGGAGAGATAGCTAAGCTGGCCTACATCTCACCCAACGAGTACTGCTTTGACAGGCGGGAGAAGTCTGTGGTGTGCACTGCGTCCTCAGATGGCACTGTGCGTGCCTGGAATCTACATGCGGTGAGTGGCCTGGAGGGGGCCATGAGGAGCACTGAGTGTCTTCGGTGTCATTAGGCATCACAGGTGACCTCTGAGGTGAGGAGTGGGAGCCCCATTGTACAGATGAGAAATCTGAGCGGCAAGGGGCTCAGACGCCATGCCAGGTCATGCTTGAAACGCGTATGAGTGATCGCAAATGACCTGCTTCTAACTTCCTCTGCACAGGGCTGTTTGCACAAGTGTGTGTGTGGAGGGCGATGGGGGGGGGGGGGGGGGAAGAGGAGGGGCACTGCTGTGCTCAGTGCTGGCCCCTGGGTGGTTGAGCCCAGGGAACTGCAGCTTTTAGTCACCCCCAGTGCAAGCTTAGTGTTAAAACCTTGAAACTTGATTAGTATTTCACACGTTGCTGGTGCTCTTAGTTTAAAAGCTTTTCTATCCATTTTCTCATTTGATTCTCACAGCAGCTGAGCAGACTACTCGGTATTATCATCCTAATTTTATACACGTACAGACAGCCTGGGAGAGGGAGTGTCTCTGAGTGTGTGGTTCCCTGTAAATTCAGGGTTCTGCCCGGCCATACATGGATGTAACCAGGCCTCTTATAATGGGTCCTTTCCTGGAAAACTGTAGATTACTTCACATTTCCAGAAGCCCTAGACAGGCAACGGCACCCTAGTACCACATGGTGAGGTGGGTGGTTATCTTTCTGTGGCTCAGTTCTGCTGGAAGTGACAGGTTCCTTGCACTTGAACATAGTGCACAGAGCGGAGGGCAGTCTCCAAGCAGGACCCTTGGAGGCTCTACCGAACTCCCCACAGATCATTCCTCTTCTGGCCCGTAAGAGAGCGACCTGACCGTGACCTGAGCCTTCCTTTTCAGTCTGCATGAGTAGCTGGCTAGGGGGAGTTGCATTCTCATACCCCTGTGCCAGCCTTGGGTCCCTGCTCTGCCCAGACTTTACAGTAGAAACCGTAAGAACGGGTGTGAGGTATGTTTCTTTGGTGATGGCAGGTGGTGCTTTTGAAATGGCCCACTCAGGTCTGAGGCCACTAGTGGCTGTTGATGTGTGATCACCAACTAGACACCAGCCCAGGATTCCAGATGGCTGCAGGATTCCAAACCAGGTCCTGTAAGGGACTCCAGGAAGCGGGAGGGACTTGGAAAGGAAAATCAGAGAGGGTGTGGGAACGTGGGCAGGAGGGCTAGAGCTGTTTTGGAATGAGTTAGTTATCATTTGTTTTGCTTTTGAATATATTCTTTCTGATCGTATTTGGGATTCTTAGGATATATTCCTAGCAGTGGGATCACTGGGTCAAATGGCAGTTCCATTTTTAATTTTTTTTTTTTTGAGGAAACTCCACACTGTTTTCTATTGTGGCTGTACCAGTCTGCATTCCCACCAGCAGTGTACTTGGGTTCCTTTTTCTCCACATCCTTACCAGCACTCGTTGTTTGTTGATTTGTTGATGGTAGCTATTCTGGCAGGTGTGAGGTGGTACCTCATTGCTGCTTTAATTTGCATCTCTGATGATTAGTGATGTTGAGCACTTATTCATATGTCTCCAGGACTTTTGTTGTATGTCCTCTTTAGATAAGTGTTTATTTATGTCCTCTGCCCACTTTTTAATTGGGTTGTTGGTCTTCCTTTGTTGAGTTGTATGAGTACTTTATATATATGTTTGGGGTTTTTTTTGGAGATTAACCTCTAACCAGATGTATCATCGGCAAAAATGTTCTCCCGTGCAGTGGGTTCTCTTTTCAACTTGACAGCTTTCTTTAGCTGTGCAGAAGTTTTTTAGTTTGATGCAGTCCCATTTGTTTATTTTTTCCTTTGTTTCTCTTGCCCCAGGAGATGTATCTGTGAAAATTCTGCTACATGAGATTTCAGATATTTTGTTGCTTTGTTTTCTTCTAGGATTTTTATGTTTTCCCAATTTATATTTAAGTCTTTAATCCATTTTAAGTTTATTCTTGTGTATGGTATAAGTTGGTAGTCTAGTTTCATTCTTTTGCATGTACCTGTCCAGTTTTCCCAGCACCGTTTATAGAAGAGACTACCTTTACCCCATTGTATGCTCTTGCCTCTTTTGTCAAATATTAATTGAGCATAATTGCTTGGGTTGATTTCTGGGTTCTCTGTTCTGTTTTGATCTATATGCCTGTTCTTGTGCCTGTACCAAGCTGTTTTGATTATGGTGGCTTTGTAGTATAACTTGAAATCTGGTATTGTGATCCCTCCAACATTGGATTTCTTTCTCAAGATTGCTGCAGCTATTTGGGGTCTTTTTTAATTTCATATAAGTTTTTGAAGTATTTGTTCTAGCTCTGTGAAATATGCCATTGGTATTTTAAAAGGGATTGCATTAAATCTATAGATTGCCTTGGGTAGTATGGACATTTTAATGATTTTGATTCTACCAATCCATGAACACAATATAATCTTCCACTTGTTTATATCTTTTTCTATCTCTTTTTTCAGCGTCCTGTAGTTTTCTGAGTATAGGTCTGTTGCCTCTTTGGTTAAGTTTATTCCTAAGTATCTTAATTTGTTTGTTGCAATGGGAAATGGGATCGTCTGTTTAGTTTCTCTTCCTGAAAATTCATTATTGGTGTAAAAGAAAGCCATCGATTTTCGGGTGTTGATTTTGCATCCTGCTATATTGTCAAATTCATTTATTAGATCTAGTAGTTTTTTGGTGGAGTCTTTAGGGTTTTTCTTTGTACAGTATCATGTCATCTGTGAATAATGATAGTTTTACTTCCTCCTTTCTAATTTTGATGCCTTTTATTTCTGCTTGTCTGATTGCTGTGGCTAGGACTCCCAGTACTAGGTTGAATAAGAGTGGTAAAAGTGGACATCCCTGTCTTATTCCTGTTCTTAGGGGCTATGCTTTCAGTTTTTGCTCATTGACTATGATGTTGGCTGTAGGTTTGTCATATATGGCCTTTATAATGTTGAGGCATGAGCCCTCTATTCCCACTTTGCTGAGAGTTTTTATCAAAAAATGGGTGTTGGGTTTTGTCAGATGCTTTTTTTGCATCTATTGATATGATCATGTGATTTTTGTCTTTTAATTTGTTTGTGTGTTGTATCATGTTTGTTGATTTGTGAATATTGTACCAGGCTTGCATCCCTGGAATAAATTCCACTTGTTCATGGTGTATGATCTTTTTAATATATTACTGGATCCGATTTGCTAATATTTTGTTGAGGATTTTAGCATCTGTGTTCATCAGGGGTATTGGCCTGTAATTTTCTTTGTAGTGTCTTTATCTGGTTTTGGGATTAGGGTAATGCTGGCCTCATAAAAAGAGCCTGGAAGTGTTCCTTTTTCTTGGATATTTTGGAATAGTTTGAGGAGTATAGGTGATAGTTCTTATTTGAATGTTTGGTAAAACTCCTCTGTGAAGAATTCCGGACCCGGGCTTTTGTTTGCTGGGAGTTTTTGATTACTGCTTCTCTTTCATCAGTTGTTATTGGCCTATTCAGGTTTTCGGATTTTTCCTGATTCAGTTTTGAGAGATTGTATTTTTCTAGGAATTTGTTCATTTCATCCACATTGTCCAACTTGGCATATAGTTTGTTCATAGTATTTTCTTACAATCCTTTGTATGTCTGTAGTGTCAGTGCTTGCTTCTCCACTTTTATTACTGATTTTATTTACTTGGGTCCTCTCTCTTAGTTTCTTGATGAGTCCAGCTAAAGCTTTACCAATGTTGTTTATCTTTTGAAAGAACCAGTTCATGGTTTTATTGATTTTTTTGTTTTGTTTTTTTGTCTCTGCCATTTATTTCTGCTCTAATTTTTTTCCTTCCTTCTGCTTACTCTGGGCTTTTCTTGTTGTTCTGTTTCTAATTCTTTTAGTTGTAGTGTTAGATTGTTTATTAGAGCTTTTTCTTGTTTAGTGAGGTATGCCTGTAATACTATGAACTTCCCTCTCAGAATTGCTTTTGCTGTGTCCCATAGATTTGGGGGTTGCTGAGTGTTCAAATTCATTTATTTCCAGGAAGTTTTTTATTTCTTTTTTATTTCATTGGTAACCCTTTATTGTTTAAAAACATACTATTTATTCTCTGTGTGTTTGAATTTTTTTTAGTGTTTTATATTGTGGTTGATTTCTAATTTCATGCCACTGTGGTTTAAGAAGATATTTGATCTGATTTCAGCTCTCTTAAACTTGTAGAAACTTATTTTGTGTCCTAACATGTGGTCTATCTTTGAGAATGACCCATGTGCACTTGAGAAGAATGTATATTCTGCTGCTTTGAGGTGGAATGTTCTATAAATGTCAGTTAAATCCATCTGATGTAGTGTGTTGTTTAAGGTCTCTGTTTCCTTGTGTGTGTTTTTTTGTCTGGAAGACCTATCCAGTGATGTCAATGGAGTGTTAAAATCACCTACTATGACTGTATTGCTGTTGATCTCTCCCTTAAAGTTCGCCAAGAGCTTTTTTTATATATTTAGGTGATCCTATATTGGGTGCATAAATGTTTACTAGGGTTATTATTTCTTGATGGATTGATCCATTTAGTATTATGTAATGGACTTTTTTGGGGTCTCTTGTTAAGGCTATTGCTTTAAAGTCTATTTTGTCAGATATAAGTATTGCTACCCCCTTTTTTTTTTTCATTTCCATCTGCATGGAATATTTTTTTCCTCCCTTCACTTTTATCCTGTGAGAAGTCTTTTGTTCTGAGGTACGTCTTTTGTAGATAGCATATTTCAGTCATGTTTTCTTATCTATTGATCTACCCTATGTCTTTTGATTGGAACATTTAATCCATTTACATTTAAGGTTACTATTGATAGGTACTTATTCATTGCCATTTTTATTCTTTAGGCCTATGTTTCTCTCTATATATGTTTCTTCTTATTACAGTAGTGCCTTTAACATTTCCTGTAGTGCTGGTTTGATGATGATAAACCCCGTTAGCCTTTTTTTTTGTCTGAAATTCTCTTTATTTCCCCATCTATTTTGTATGATAGCCTTCCTGGATTTCAGTAGTCTTGATTTCAGATTCCTTCTTTTCATTACTTTGAACACTTCATGCCATTCCCTTCTGGCCTGTAGTGTTTCTGTTGAGAAATCTCCTGATAGCCTTATGGGAGCTCCCTTGTAGGGCATTTACTCTCTCTCTCTTGTGGCCCTTAAGATTCTCTTTTTGTCCTTAATGTTTGCCATTTTAATTATGATGTGTCTTAGAGTGGGTGTCTTTTGATTCCTCTTGATTGGTACCATTTGTGTTTCCTGAACATGTGTGGCTTTTTCCTTCCCCAGCTTAGGGGAGTGTTTTGTCATTATTTATTCCAACAGGTTCTCTTTCTCTTGCTCACTCTCTTCTCCCTATGGGTACACTATGATCTGAATGTTGTTTTGTTTCATGTTGTCCCAAAGTTTCTTTAAATTATCGTCATGCTTTTAGAAAATACTTTTTTTTCCTTTTTCTTAAAATATTTATTGTTGAGAACATTACATATATTTCCACCCCCCCCCCCCATTTTCCCCTTCCACCTGGTTCCCTCCTTGCCCTAGGCCTTCACCACCCTATTTTCTGTGTCCATAGGTAATGCATATATGCATATATGTTCTTTGGTTAATCTCTTCCTGCCCCCCTTTCCCCTTCCCTCTGAGTTCGTCAGTCTGCTCCATGTTTCAGTGCCTCTGGTTCTGTTTTATTCATCATTTTATTTGTTCCCTAGATTCCTTGTTCCTTTGATTTCTAGCTTCAATTGTTGATAGATATGTATTTATTGCCTTTTTATTGTTCACGTTTTTTATCATCATTCTCCTCCTCCTCCTCCTCCTCCTCCTCCTCCTCCTCCTCCCCCTCTTCCTTCTTCTCTTCTTCCTCTACTTTCTTCTTCTTCCTCTTCATCTTCTTAAGGAATACCCTTCAGCATTTCATTTAATACTAGTTTGGTGGGATGAACACCTTTAGCTTTTTCTTGTCTGAGAAGATCTTTATCTGCTCTTTAATTCTAAGTAATAGCTTTGCTGGGTAGAATAGTCTTGTTTGTAGGTCTTTGCTATGCATTACCTTGAGTATTTGTTGTCATCTCTGTGCACCACCACCAGCCTTTGTGTTTAACTTTTAGATACAATTAGTAGGGTAAGCATTCGTGGGAGGACACATGTGTCTGCAGTGTCCTTTAAGCAAGGACGTCTAAAGATTAGGCATAAATATTCCGGTAAACACCCAAGGGTCTAAATGTACACAGACTTGTTGGGAAAGGTCGAGGAACAATTAGGGGCAATCACCTTCAGCCAAACCCCCTAGGGAATTCCAATAAACGGGTTGGTGCCTTCAGCCAACGCTCCTCGGTCAGAATTTCCTCCTTACAGATTTTCCAACCAAGTCTTCCGTGCTCCCCCACAATTATGTCAATGCTTTTCACAGCCAAGCCTTGAGGTAAACTAACATTTTGCTTTTCCTGCAGTCTGTAATTATTCTTTAAAATTTTTTTTTTAGTTTTCTATGTATTCACAATATTTGTCTCCATGTTTTATTTGCTGTTACCTGGAGAATTCTAGGGTTTGAGTTGTCTTTTTCTAGCTTTGAAGTATCTGGTGCCACTAGCAGCTTCCAACACCCCCAGCCCCCACGCCTCTTTCCTGGGCCACATCGAGTGGAGTCCCCAGACCATCGCTGGTCAGCATCTTTCTGCCCTGTTCCGCTGGCCACTGCTTCCCATTCTGAAATAGGAAGGGGAGTTTAACTGCTCCTTCGCCCACTTCCTGCCACTAACCACTGGTAAACACCCTGTGTCCTCCGAAGCTCACCCTCAGTCCGTCCACAGGCCAAGTTCTGCCCCACTGATGGCATGTTAGCTGAGCAACAGAAATCAACTGTTGATTTGTCGGCCTGTGGGGAAGAAAGAAACTAGTGGAAGAATACTGAGATACCAGGTGTGGGAAAAGAGATAGAGACCATGATACAGAGATAACATAATAGAAAAAAGGTCAGAATAACCCCAAATTGGAAAGAAACCTGTGTGTGAGCTCTGGAGACTCAGAACAGTGGCTAGTGGGTTGGTTCTCGGATGCCCTGTCTTAATGTACCGTGGGCCCTCTGGCACTTGGGCTCTTGACCTCTCCAATCCAGTTCTCAGAATCCCGGGAAGAGACCATGGATTCGACCCAGCTTGGGCCACTGGTTTTCCTCTGGGCGTGGGCATGGGCCTGGGCCAGGGCTGGCCTGTGGTGGTACTGCTGGGTTCACTGTAGGGAAGTGGGTGTCCTGGCCAGGGCAGCTGCAGATATGCAACACAAGCCATTCATATCCACAAGCCCGATTAGCTTATCGGTGAAACTGACTACCCAGGTCTGGACGAGTTGCTCCGTGTGGAGGCTCTGTGTGCAGGGATTCGTGGCCAGGTCCCAGCCGGGTGTGTAGTGCTGGATCCCGCCTCCCTGCCCAGCCTTCCTCAGCGGAGCTGTAGGTCACCACCGGAAGTGCAGCAGACATACCGGCCTGTGTGCATGCAGGACCCCACCCTGGGCCCACCTGGTGATGCCACCCAGTCCCCCCCAAAGTCTCTACACACCCACACTCAGCCACCTCCGTGGTATTCCCTGCCCTGCTGTTGGTTAGTCCTGTGAGGATGGGGATGGGGTCCTTTCACCTGCATGTCCCAGTGTGTGCTGGTTGAGGGATGAATGAAAAGAATGTGAGTTTATGAAATAAACTGCTCTATATAAGTTCTTATATTAATTTTGTTGTTGCCCAGGGCATGGAGATCTGGTCGAGCCCTCTACAGCCTGATGCTCTGGTGAATTTGGTGACTTACCCTCAGCTGCAGCTGGTTGTCACCGTGGACGCACAGGGACTCATCAAAGTGTGGGAAGCAGAGAGCGGGCGGGAGTCAGCCTCCTTCTGCCTGCCTACACACTCGTCTGCATTGGAGGCCTCTGACCATCCAGAGGGCCCCTTCCTGCTGGTGAGTGCCCGGCGCTCAGGAGCCTCTGTGGGTGCTAGCCGTCTCCCAGCCAAGGGCCATGGAGAGTTGGAGCTTTGGGTGGATTATCAGGTGTTGCAACCTGGCAGTAAGGCTGGGCTGAGAGTAAACAGTCTTTTCACCTGCTGCAGCTCAGCCTCCTGCAGCTCAGCCTCCTATCACCTGGTCAGAGTAAACGAAAATCCTTTCTGGAAAAGGGTACCAGTACCCCAGGCCTCACATTATTTCTCTTTCAGACATAGCAGCCATCACACACTTAAAGCTAACTAAGGGATAAGAATAGTACCAACTAGCCCTGGCCAGGTGGCTCAGTTGGTTGGAGTGTCCCGTACACCAAAGGTGGTGGGTTCCATTCCTGGTCAGGGCACATACTGGTTGTGAGTTTAGTCTCCAGTTGGGTCAAGTACAGGAGGCAAACTGATCAGTGTTTCTCTCTCTCTCCCTTTCTGTCTCTGTAATACCAATAAAAACATATCCTCCCGCATGCACCCCAACTGGGGCCAGGTACCAAGCCTGCAACCGAAGTACAAGCCCTTCCCTGGAATTGGTCCCGGGACCCTTCCGTCCACAGGCCAAACTGACTAGGGCTGTTATCTTCATTTGTGAAGTAACTTTTTCTTTCTTTTTTCCTAATGTTTTTACTGATTTTTTTTTTTTAGAGAGAGAGGAAGGGAGAGAGAGAAACATTGATGTGAGAGAAAAACATCTATTGGTTGCTTCCCATATGCCACCCCGATCAGGAACCAAACGTGCAACCTGGGCATGTGCCCTCACCGGGAATCAAACTGGCGATCTTTTGGTGCACAGGGCCACCCGGCCAGGGCGAGATAACTTTTTCATCAGTATCTTTTCTGAAGTAATTTCTCTTATTTAATATTTTTTTTTATCCGTTTCCATTCTGAGTGTTGAATTTCTGATTCCAGATGTCCCTTCATATGCTTGTATTGTGATACTTAACTTCCATCCATGTGGCTACAGATCCCTGATTCCTGGTTTTCCTTTGGTGGAATAGTTTTATCAGCTTAAATGTGTTGCTTCTCACTTTTTCTTTTCATGACCTTGTTTGTTGCTGTTTTCTATGCGTTGTGAAGTGTTTGTATTTTCTTGGCCAGTAAGAACAAGTGTTTTCAGGAAAAGAAAGTCCAGATTGTGTTCCAGGTGCAAATGTCTGTGAAAAACGTTTTTTTAAAACAGTAGGTGAAGGACAAGCCATTCAAGAAATGGAGCCCTTGACCATTAGGAGAGAGAAGCTAAGCCATTCCCATATCACTCCATCTGTGGAAATACATTTAGAATAATTAAAACTAAATTTAAAGGCAGTTAGCCCTAGCTGGTTTGGCTCAGTGGATAGAGCATTGGCTTGTGGACTGAAGGGTCCCGGGTTTGATTCCGGTCAAGGGCACATGCCTGGGTTGTGGGATCGATCCCCAGGAAGGGGGCATGCGGCAGCCTATCAATGATTCTCTCTCATCATTGATGTTTCTGTCTCTCTCCCCCTATTCCTTCCTCTCTGAAATCAATAAAAATATGTTTTAAAAATGTAAAAGGCAGTTATAAAATTATCCGAGGGATAACTAACTGGTTTTTAAAATCAATCTGGGATGTGCCTGGCCTTGCTAGGCAAGACAAAACCTGGAACTAAAAAAATACACAGATTTACCTAAAAAATTAAAAACATCTGAACTATAGAGTATTATAAAATTGAGACATAAAAAATCAGGAGAAAACACTGTAGCTTATTTAACAAGGCATTAATATCATATTTTTTGAAGCATAGAGATCTAGTAGAAAAATAGGTGAGGACATGAATAGTCAACTCATAGAAAAAAGTACAAGTGGCCAATAATGTGTAAAGGAGTGAAACCCAACTCATAACCAAGAAAGTAGCATCACAACAAGGCTTTTGACCTACTGGATGAGCAAACACATAAAAAAAAATCGGTATTATAATAAGTGTGATGAAAAATAAATATTTTTATACATGGCAAGTAAGAATATAGATTGAACACTTTTAATAAAGCTTGCCTTTTTCCTGTTAGAAGTTTTAAATCTGATACTCTTTGGACCTAACAATTCCAGTTGTAGGGACCTCTCAGGGGGAAATATTGGCATTGCCACACAAAGATCGTTCATGGTAACAGAATTTGTAAACAACCCAAATTTCCATCATAAAGGGACAAAGTAAAAAGTCCTGGAAAAAAGTCTTCTGATGAGAAGAGATTTCCAAAGAGTATTTGGAAACAGAAAAGGCAGGGCAGGCTGCAGCTCGCATTTGAGCATGAGGATAGCAAGGGCTTCTGTGTGGAGGGAGGAGAGGGTTTGCTCTCATATTGTTTGAGTAATTCATTACTTTTGACTTAATTGTCATTTCACCCCAGTGAGGAAGGAGTTATGTGGCCACCTGGTCCTTGGGTGAGGACAGGACACAGGTGGTCACTGCACTTCGCATTGCAGGCGGCCTGTGCCGATGGAACACTCTACACGCTCACGGTGCCCGGGCTGCAGGTGCTGTCCAGGGTGAGTGTGTTCCCGAACCACCCCGCCAGCCTGCTCTGCTCTCCCGACTGCCAGTGGGTGTTCACATTGGCCCAGGACTCAGACCTGAGCCCCAAGGTCAGTGCTGGGCTGTGTCCCTTGTCCCAAGGGCCAGGCTTTGTGTGCATAGGGAGTGGGTTGTGTGCCCGGTCTTGCACATGCATCTGGGAGGATGGCTTCTCGCACAGGACCACGCCTGCGGCCACTCAGGGCCACCAGCTGGGCAGTGGTGGTGCCGGCCTCTCCCCAGAGCCGCTGCTCTTTCCAGGCTGCTGTGTTGCTCCCAGGTCGGAAGGAGTTCGTGGCTTGGCTAGAGGACAGAGTTAGTTCTGAAGGAGCTGGGGCCTTAGGGACACCTTGGTGGAGTGTCATAGACATTCAGCGGCTTGAGAACAGAGCTTCCATGAGAGCGAGGATGAGAGGGTGTCAGGTCAGGCATGAGGAGATGCTGGCAGTGGGGGACAGCATCATTACCTGGACCGGGCACAGCATGGCCAGCCCGTGGCACTGAGCACCACCACCAGCACCAGATCCCTGGGACCCAGGGAGTGTCTTGGTGATTTATGGGCTCAGAGGCGTCCAGCCTGAGTGCCAGGAACTGACCTGGAAAATTAGAGCGGAGTTGGAGCCCCTGTAGAGGCCTGAGCCATGCTGGGTGGCTGGATGAGGAAGGCCAGGAAGAGAGCTAGGGCAGGCAGGGCAATCAGGCGGCAGTGCCGGGACCTGGTAGCCAGGGGAGGTGAGAGGTCTGGACGGGGCAGTGGAGGAGAGAGGTTTCAGAAAGGGGGTGGCGGGGGCAGTGGAGGAGAGAGGCTTCAGGAAGGGGGTGGTGGGGGACAGTGGAGGAGAGAGGCTTCAGGAAGGGGGTGGTGGGGGACAGTGGAGGAGAGAGGCTTCAGGAAGGGGATGGTGGGGGACAGTGGAGGAGAGAGGTTTCAGGAAGGGGGTGGCGGGGGCAGTGGAGGAGAGAGGCTTCAGGAAGGGGGTGGTGGGGGACAGTGGAGGAGAGAGGCTTCAGGAAGAGGGTGGTGGGGGACAGTGGAGGAGAAAGGCTTAGGAAGGGGCTGGCAGTGGTCACCAGGAGCGGGACCTCTTGACATAGCAGTCCTAGGGACCAAGAAGTGTTTGGGACTAGACTACCTGGAAGTAGGAAGGGATCCTGGAGGCAGACACTGGAGGCAGAAGTAGGACAGTGCTGTGCAGCTGCTCAGAAGCAGAAGAGCCGTTTACTGGAGTCACTCACCCATGCCCTCACTGGGACTCGTGCACCTAGACATCTTCTGGCCAGACGTGGGCTTGGACTGACCTGCTCCCTGGCCCGAGCCACCTGGAAAGGAGGGTCTGCGAGTGGCACAGCTGCTCCCTAATGCCCGGAAGGCCACTGTGGGTGTGGGTCCCTGGGCAGAGCCGCCGGAGAGTGCTCTGGGGTCGGAGGCGTCCCCGTCATCACACTGAGGCCATCGCACTGAGGCCGGCTGTGCTGTTCCCCAGGTGTTCCACTCGCACTCCTTGCTGTGTCCACTGGAAGACGAGCCTCCTGTCTCCACCGCTCTCCCCATCGGGCTGACTTCCAAAGCCTGCTGGGCCCCCGATGAGCCGGCCAGGCTGGTGGTGGTGCACAGAGATGACAGCGGCGTGCAGTGGGTGGTCACCACCTACGAGCCAGGGGCTAAGAAGTCCAGGGATGCAGTGAGCGTTCTGGGTAAGGATCCCCAACAGGACCTGTGGGCCTGCATGTCACCAGCGTTGCATAGGATGCTTCAAGCACAGATTCCTCATGTTGCCTTTGGGACACTTTTTCTTTTCTCGCAAAGAATATAGTGACCCAGCGAATGTTTCCTTGTTTGTGATGTTATGTACTGTGTGGGTGGTTGAGCACCTGCTCTATGTCAGGCCCTCTGCGTAGCCCTGAATTCAGACATTAACTACTGTCAGCTGCCCTCTCCTGACTTATTTTCCTGCTTCCATTCATCCCTGCTTCTCTTCACCGCTGTATCCAAGGCACTGTTCTCAGCACAGTGCAGGCAAAGATGGATAAAAGCCACACCTATCTCTTCCCCAAGGAGCTCCTAGTCCATAGGAAAATAAGACCCACAGCCTTCTCCTTCCCTGTCTCCCAGACAGGCCTTCCCTGTGGTCCTTCGCTGTTTTCCTTTGGTTTTATGTTCATTTGTTTTCATGTCATCATTTGACCTTAGTTTTTATTCTGAGCTTCCTGGCAGCCGAGGAAAAAGGGAAAACAGGATATGGAATAATCCCTTGTCTGATACAAGAAAGCACATGAATTTTTTCAAAAGAGGTAATTTTTTCTTCCTGGTGCCAAACTCCATTAGAAAGTGATCAAGTTGATTTTTTAAAAAAAACAAAAACCAAAATGTCTTGGTTCTCATGTGGCCCTTTTTCATATCACCCTGTCCTAGATGAGGAAGGGTGTTCATTCTCCCCATTCTCTGGATGGTGCTGTGTGCCAGGTACTGTCACTTCCACCTGCACTGTGTCCCCTGTAAGCCAGGCACCGGATTCGGTGTGGTAGAGCCAATGCATGGGAGGCCGAGGGAGTAAACGCGTGGTTCAGCCGTGAACGCTGCTGTAACTGTGAAGCCCGTGCCCTTTTCAATGTGCTGCGTCATCTTAGGTGAGGCACGCTGTCCCGGACTCCAGCTGCTATCGAGAAACGACAATCAGTGTGTTTTTCTTTCAAAAAGTACAGCAGATTGCAAGTTTCAACCTGCCAGACACCATGATGCCTCCTCACCTAATGAAGGGGCACGGCTCCCAAGTGGTGCTGCTGGTGTCGGGGTCTGAGCTGGTGCTCTTCACCATCCACGGCCTGCGGCTGGCAGCCTTCCAGGACCATCAGCGGCCCATCACGTCCCTGTGTGTGGTGAGTGCGCACCCCCGGCCCGGATCGAGGAGCCCAGCCCCCGGTGCCCACATCCCCGCCTCACGTAGCTTTCATTTCAAGGACCAGAGCCGAGTCGTCACCTCTTCTTTCGACCTCTCCTTGCGCGTCTACATGTGGAAAAAGGGGAATAAATTTCCTGTCCTCAAGAGCTGCTATCACTTGCTCGGGGGCTCCCACCGCTGGGCCAGGTAATTGCATCCGATTCCTCCTTTACCTGTAAGACGGCCTCTCCTGGCCTCCCCACAGTGGCTTTTTTTATATATATATAATTTTTTATTTATTTTTAAATTTTTTTTTTATTGATAAAGTTTTATGTATATCTCCTTTTCCCCTGATTGACCCCCCCCCTTCCCACCCTGGGCAAAACCCCCCTCCCCCGCCCCAGTGTCTTTGTCCATTGGTTATGCTAATATGCATGCATACAAGTCCTTTGGTTGCTCTCTAACCCCTCCTCCCCTGCCATTTGTCTCTGGATCTATTTTTGTTCATCAGTTTATGTTGATCATTATATCCCACAAATGAGTGAGATCATGTGCTATTTATCTTTCTCTGACTGGCTTATTTCGCTTAGCATAATGCTCTCCAGTTCCATCCACGTTGTTGCAAATGGTAAGAGTTCCTTCTTTTTTTACAGCAGCATAGTATTCCATCGTGTAGATGTACCACAGTTTTTTAATCCTCTCACTGATGGGCACTTAGGCTGTTTCCAAATCTTAGCTATTGTAAATTGTGCTGCTATGAACATAGGGGTGCATATATCCCCCACAGTACCTTTTTAAGGATTCCCTTGGAGAGAATGTGACTGGGACTTGGAGTCCTAGCCTAGCCTGCCCCGCACTACTTGGGGACCCAACAAAAGTCACTGGTCAGAATCTGTTTCCTCTTCTTAAAAAAAGATGCTCTGCACCCTCCACTCGGTCTCCTTAAATGTACGAAACCGCCACCCACAGTTTATGTGGCATCACCCACATTGCCCAGGTGCAGTGGGCGTGCAAAGGTGTGGTATTGTACCCAAAGTCCCACGGGGATGCGGGAGGTCCGGGGTGGGGCCTGACAGCCCTGCAGCCCAGCCTTACCCTCCCTTCATAGCCCACACAATTCTGAACTCTGCCAGACCCTGGTGTGGGGGGGTCCGTGGGGGAAGCCTGTGAAAGGGAAAGAATGCGGTTCTGCATCGTGCTTTTGGGTTAATAGTTTGGAACCACTTGTGAGCCTTCTTGCTAGAGGGCCATAGAGGACAGGGCTTCCAGATCTCATATTCCATCTGGGGGAGTTGTCACTTTCTTGTCATGAGGTATGCAGTAAATTCAGCCTCCTGTGACAAACTTCTCACAACTACGTATTTACTTATTTATTTTATTTTTTTTTTATTTTATTTTTTTTTTATTTTTATTTTTATTTTTTTTTATTATTGCTTAAAGTATTACAAAGGGTATTACATATGTGTCCATTTTATCCCCCCGCCCTAGACAGTCCCCTAGCCTCCCCTACCCCCCAATGTCTTGTGTCCACTGGTTATGCTTATATGCATGCATACAAGTCCTTTAGTTGATCTCTTACCCCCCTACCTCCTGCCCCGCAACCCTCCCCGGCCTTCCTGCTGCAGTTTGACAATCTGTTCGAGGCAGCTCTGCCTCTGTATCTATTATTGTTCAAAAGTTTATAATGGTCTCTATTATCCATGAATGAGTGAGATCATGTGGTATTTTTCCTTCATTGACTGGCTTATTTCACTTAGCATAATGCTCTCCAGTTCCATCCATGACGTTGCAAATGGTAAGAGTTCCTTCCTTTTTAGAGCAGCATAGTATTCCATCGTGTAGATGTACCACAGTTTTCTAATCCATTCATCTACTGATGGGCACTTAGGTTGTTTCCAGATCTTAGCTATGGTGAATTGTGCTGCTATGAACATAGGGGTGCATATATCCTTTCTGATTGGTGTTTCTGGTTTCTTGGGATATATTCCTAGAAGTGGGATCACAGGGTCAAATGGGAGTTCCATTTTCAGTTTTTTAAGGAAACTCCATACTGTCTTCCATAGTGGCTGCACCAGTCTGCATTCCCACCAGCAGTGCACAAGTGTTCCTTTTTCTCCACATCCTCTCCAGCACTTGTCGTTTGTTGATTTGTTGATGATAGCCAGTCTGACAGGTGTGAGATGGTACCTCATTGTTGTTTTGATTTGCATCTCTCGGATGATTAGTGACTTTGAGCATGTTTTCATATGTCTCTTGGCTTTCTGAATGTCCTCCTTTGAAAGGTGTCTATTTAGGTCCTTTGCCCATTTTTTGATTGGATTGTTTATCTTCCTTTTGTTAAGTTGTATGAGTTCCCTATAAATTTTGGAGATTAGGCCCTTATCAGATATGACATTGGCAAATATGTTTTCCCACACAGTGGGTTTTCTCGTTGTTTTGTTGATGGTTTCTTTTGCTGTGCAGAAGCTTTTTATTTTGATGTAGTCCCATTTGTTCATTTTCTCTTTAGTTTCAAGTGCCCTAGGAGCTGTATCAGTGAAGAAATTGCTTCGGCATATGTCTGAGATTTTGTTGCCTTTGTATTCTTCTAGAATTTTTATGGTTTCCTGTCGTACATTTAAGTCCTTTATCCATTTTGCGTTTATTTTTGTGTATGGTGTAAGTTGGTGGTCTAGTTTCATTTTATTGCATATATCTGTCCAATTTTCCCAACACCATTTATTGAAGAGACTATTTTGGCTCCATTGTATGTTCTTGCCTCCTTTGTCAAATATTAATTGAGCATATTGGTTCGGGCCGATTTCTGGGCTCTCTATTCTATTCCATTGATCTATATGCCTATTCTTGTGCCAGTACCAGGCAGTTTTGAGAACAGTGGCTTTGTAATACATCTTGATATCTGGTATTGAGATCCCACCTACTTTGGTCTTTTTCAGGATTGCTGCAGCTATTCGGGGTCTTTTTTTATTCCAGATGAATTTTTGGAGAGTTCGTTCTAGATCTCTGAAGTATGCCGTTGGTATTTTAATGGGAAGTGCGTTGAATTTATAGATTGCTTTGGGTAGTATGGACATTTTAATGATGTTGATTCTACCAATCCATGAACACGGTATGTTCTTCCATCTGTTTATGTCTTCCTCTATATCTTTTTTCAACGTCCTGTAATTTTCTGAGTAGAGGTCTTTTACCTCTTTAGTTAAGTTTATTCCTAGGTAGCTTAATTTTTTTGGTGCGATGGTAAACGGGATTGTTTTTATAATCTCTCTTTCTGAAAGTTCCCTATTGGTGTATAGAAATGCCTCGGATTTCTTGGGGTTAATTTTGTATCCTGCTACATTGCCAAATTCATGTATTAAGTCCAGTAGCTTTTTGATGGAGTCTCTAGGGTTTTGTATGTATAATATCATGTCGTCTGCAAATAAGGACAGTTTTACTTCCTCTTTTCCAATTTGGATGCCTTTTATTTCTTCTTCTTGCCGAATTGCAATGGCTAACACTTCCAGTACTATGTTGAACAGGAGTGGTGAGAGGGGGCATCCCTGTCTTGTTCCTGTTCTTAGGGGAAATGGTGTTAGTTTTTGTCCATTGAGTATGATGTTTGCTGTGGGCCTGTCATATATGGCTTTTATTATGTTGAGGTATGATCCTTCTACTCCCACCTTGCTGAGAGCTTTTATCAAAAATGGGTGTTGAATTTTGTCAAATGCTTTTTCTGCATCAATTGATATGACCATGTGGTTTTTTTCTTTCAATTTGTTTATGTGATGTATCACGTTTATTGATTAGCGGATATTGTACCATCCTTGCATCCCTGGGATAAATCCTACTTGGTCATGGTGTATGATCTTTCTGATGTACTGCTGGATCCGATTTGCTAAGATTTTGTTGAGGATTTTGGCATCTATGTTCATGAGGGATATTGGCCTGTAATTCTCTTTCATTGTGTTGTCTTTACCTGGTTTTGGTATTAGGGTGATGCTGGCTTCATAGAATGAGCTTGGAAGTGTTCCTTCCTCTTGAATTTTTTGTAGTAGTCTGAGGAGGATAGGTTTTAGTTCTTCCTTGAATGTTTGGTAAAACTCCCCTGTGAAGCCGTCTGGTCCTGGGCTTTTGTTTGCTGGAAGCTTTTTGATGACTGCTTCAATTTCTTCCATAGTTATTGGCCTGTTGAGATTTTTAGATTCTTCCTGATTGAGTTTTGGAATGTTGTATTTTTCTAGGAATTTGTCCATTTCCTCCAGGTTGTCTAGTTTGTTGGAGTAGAGCTGTCCATAGTATTTTTTAACAATCATTTGTATTTCTGTGGGGTCTGTTGTTATTTCGCCTCTATCGTTTCTGATTTTGTTTATTTGGGTCCTCTCTCTTTGCTTCTTGGTGAGTCTGGCTAGAGGTTTGTCAATCTTGTTTATCCTTTCAAAGAACCAGCTCTTGGTTTCATTGATTTTCTGTATTGTTTTTTTGGTCTCTATGTCATTTATTTCTGCTCTAATCTTTATTATCTCCTTCCTTCTGCTCACTCTGGGGTTTTCTTGTTGCTCTCTTTCTAATTCTTTGAGTTGTAGAGTTAGATGATTTACTACCATTTTTTCTTGTTTGTTGAGATAGGCCTGTAGAGCTATAAACTTCCCTCTCAGGACTGCTTTCATTGTGTCCCATAGGTTTTGGATTGTTGTGTTTTCATTGTCATTAGTTTCCAGGATGTTTTTAATTTCTTCTTTGATTTCATTGGTAACCCAATCAATATTTAATAGCATGCTATTCAGCTTCCAGGTGTTTGAGTATTTTGGGTTGTTTTTATTGTAGTTTATTTCTAATATTATGCCATCATGGTCTGCGAAGACGCTTTTTATGATTTCAATTTTCTTGAATTTGGGGATACTTTGCTTGTGACCCAATATATGGTCTATTTTTGAGTATGTCCCATGAGCACTTGAGAAGAACGTATATTCCCTGGCTTTGGGGTGAAGTGTTCTGAAGATGTCTATTAAGTCCATCTGATCTAGTGAGTCATTTAGGATTGCTGTATCTTTGCTGATTGTTTGTCTATAGGACTTATCCAGTGCTGTTAGTGGTGTATTAAAGTCCCCTACTATGATTGTATTGTTGTCGATCTCTCCTTTGATATCTTCCAGGAGTTTTTTTATGAATTTGGGTGCTCCTGCATTGGGTGCATATATGTTCACCAGGGTTATATCTTCTTGTTGTAT